ACTCAGTCGGGGGGCCAGTTCTCCTCTGGCCAACGAAGGAACAGTGCATGATTCGGGCAGCATTACAAGTCAGATTGGATCGGAACATTTAGAGTATTTTTTGGAAGTCCAAGTATGCACGCCGGTCTTAAAGACGAGTTGTTGAGGATCAGTGCCGTCCACCATAGAGAGTCCATATCGCCCGTGTTGAGTCGTCACTTCACAGGCTTTGTGATTGGAGCATCTGAAGTCTCCGTGAGAGGCTGGATACAAACTGGAGCTGACGAACGCCATTTTCTCGGGACTCGCGTCCCGAGATAACAGCAGAAAAGCAAAGGGAAAATAATTAGCGTAGCTGCTGTTCATAATGATGATTTCCATAACACAGGCGTAAAAGACAAAACATGAAGACAGTGACTCTTGCGTCCCAGTGTCACCCCCCTCCGTCCCCCACTCAACTCAGCCCAGCTTACTGACCTCTACGTCCCTCCTGCTGCCGAGACCTAACCACAATCTCACAATCTCTCCGCAACCCAACCATACGCGCCAACCCGTTGACTAAGGCTGTCGAGCCCCACTGGTGCGTGAATAGGCAGTTTCAGTGGACAACGGTTCCGTATGGCATACTACCTACCGCAACACAATATCTGCCCAACCACCCGTCATTCACGCAATATACACAGGAACGTAATGACTGCAAATACTATGCAACCTATACAGATAACCTACAGTCTCTTCAAGTTTTATAGTATTAAATGCATTTGATCTGATTCAGCAGTATTATAAAAGGTAAGCATTATGTAAATGCTTGGCTAAAAAGATGCGTCTTTAATCTAGTTTTAAACTGGGACAGCGAGTCAGAGCCTCGAACAATATCAGGAAGGCTATTCCAGAGTTTAGGAGCTAAATGTGAGAACGCCCTCCCTCCTTTAGTGGACTTAGATATCCTAGGAATGACTAGAAGCCTCGAATTTAGTGATCTTAAAGAACGCGATGGATTGTAGGGCGATAGAAGGTCCATTAAATACACAGGAGCTAAACCATTTAGGGCTTTATAGGTCAGTAATAGTACTTTGTAATTGATACGGAACTTGATAGGTAACCAGTGTAGAGATGATAGAATCGGTGTTATATGATCATATTTTCTTGACCTAGTAAGAACTCTAGCGGCTGCATTTTGCACTAACTGTAGCTTGTTTATTGAGGATGCAGGACAACCAGCTAATAAAGCATTACAGTAATCTAGTCTCGAGGTCATGAATGCATGAACTAACTTTTCTGCATCGGAAACAGATAGCATGTTACGTAATTTAGCAATGTTTCTAAGATGGAAAAAGGCCGTTCTTGTAACATATGAAATATGATTTTCGAAAGACAAGTTGTGGTCTAGTATAACTCCCAGGTCTTTTACCGTAGAGGATAAAGTAACAGGACATCCTTCTATATTAAAGTTGTATTGTAAGTGGTTTTGCGGATAGTTTTTTGGACCAACAAGTAATACCTCCGTTTTATCTGGATTTAGTAGCAGGAAATTATGCGTCATCCAGCATTTTATATCTTTAAGACACTCTGTCAATTTTGATGAGTTAGTGTTTTCATCTGGCCGTGATGAAATATATAATTGAGTGTCATCAGCATAACAGTGGAAATTAATTCCATGTTTTCTTATAATATTACCAAGTGGCAGCATATATATTGAGAATAGCAGAGGGCCTAACACCGATCCTTGCGGCACTCCATAGTCTACTGACGTTATCTTCGATTTTTCCCCATTTAAACAAACAAAATGGTAACGGTCTGATAAATACGATCTGAACCAGCTTAATGCCTGTCCCTGAACACCAGTGTAGTTTTGTAGTCGATCCAAGAGTATTTTATGATCGATAGTGTCAAACGCAGCACTAAGATCGAGTAGAACTAGTATTGAGATACAGCCTTGGTCAGAAGCTAAAAGTAAATCATTTGTAATTTTAACTAGCGCAGTTTCTGTGCTATGATGCGGTCTGAATCCTGACTGAAATTTTTCATATATCTCATTTTCTTGCATGAAAGAGCACAATTGAGCGGACACAGTCTTTTCTAGTATTTTAGACATAAATGGAAGATTTGAAATCGGTCTGTAATTTGCTAAGTTATTTGGATCTAATTGCGGTTTCTTAACCTGTTAACCTGCAACCCCATTTTTGAAAAATCCCCAGATATGGCATTCCCAAACCGAAACAGATACAGTTCATGAACCCTTTGTACTAAAAGCACAAGTAAGATCTCATTTGAAAGCTGACACCTGGAAGTTTATTGTAAATGTAGAATTAATTATTGTCATAATGAAAAAAAATAGTTATAAATAGCTTCAAAGTTTTGTAAAATTATTATACATTTATTTTTATGAAACATCTTCATGAAAATAAAATTGAAGTTGGCATTGTAGCAATCTAGAAATGCACTGCAGCTAAAGCCACATGTCTGGCCATGTTATATTTAAAATCTGAAGATGATAAGTCTAAAACTCTGTATTTAGTTCAATGTTTTTTAAGATCATGTCATATGACTTTATTTTGATTAGACTGGTGTTTATTGTCATCTTATAAGCATCTATTCAGTCTATTGCCTCTATTGTTTTGTGATGCAAAAACGAGCCCCATTCAGTGTCAGTCTCCCCTGCACATATTCACACCTCTCCAGCCTGTTTATTGCTCTAAATATGCTTTTCTTTTGTCTGCATTATAATCACTAACGACTAGCAATTCACACTGTTTCAATCCCTCATTTCTTTTATAAAAGTTCTCACTTCACAGTGAAACTGTATCAAATGCCCTTTTTGAAAAACGAAACATTTTAGTAAGCATTCTTATTTAGAAAAAAAATCATAAAAATTACACCGAAGTTAGGTAGCAGGTGCTCAGTACTAGCTAGCATGTTAGCTTAGCACACCATCAATACACGACCATTTATGAGAATAAAACTATGTTTGTGCTCCAAACTTACTTTACAGCGCAAGTCGAGTGTTTTTAATAACTTTCTGTAATCTGATTTGGCTTCAGATAAAAAAATCAGATAGAAAATATATTATTTTATTGTATTCTGCACAATTTGAAAGTCTATCTCGATTAGCATTACATTATACATATAATCTATTATTATGAAAATACCTGACATGACTCGAAGAACACAGGTAAATCAAATATCATTGCAATCATGTTTATTGTCTTCAAAACATCTTTATCTGCACTTTACAGCGATCTCTGATAGCTTTGTTGTGTCAGGACCATAGGTCAGGACTTCCTGAATGTCACATGATTATGGCTCTTCTTCATGTGATCCATATATGGACTTTTCTGTGCAACAGCGCCCCAGACTTCAGTATGAATTGATAATACAGTAGATCAGAGTATCCAGCGCTCAAAATGATTACATCGACGCATTTGGGTATAAATTCAATAAATATTATTCCTGTCTACAGAAATCAGAGGGGTATTGCACAAAAGTAGAATTAAGAAAGCCAGGATAAAAGACCAGTCCCGGCTTGACCTAGTTTAATCAGTGCATCCTGGCTTAATCCGTTGCACGTTTGCTGAGCCAGGATGAGAACGCGCGGATATGTCAAGCCAGGTGTATATAGTTTGGATAAATGCACGTTCACGGCATTCTTTAAAAGATCACGAAATCGATCACAGAATCACCGATCCGAAAATGGACAAAACGCGTGCGGCATACTTTTCGCCTAATGAGCAACAGCTTCTTATGGAAACGTATGAAGAAGTGAAACATATAATATGTAAAAAAGGCAATACAGCTGCTGTAATAAAACAAAGAGAGAATGCATGGCAAACAATAGCGGACCGATTGAATGCGTAAGTAGTCCAAAACCAGTGCTCCACTGAAACCCTCATAATTACAATTCAAGGAGTTACTTGTCATTTTCAAAAATAATTGTATACTTTGCCTTAAATGTGACCAGTGAACATGCATTTAACATGAAGAATAATTGCAAACACTTACCCACTATGTGTATCTATTTAGTTTATTTTATGTCTATTATCTCTTTAATCTTTTTACTCTTATCTATTTGTATGTAGGTTTTGTTTTTAATTGATTTGATGTAATCTATAATCAGATATTTTGCTCTATTTTTATCCATCTAATCTATTTTATCATTTGTATCTATTCCTCTTAAAGAACAAACATGTCTGGCCAAAAAAGGACTTGGCAGCAAGTCAAGATTAAATACAAGAATATTTTGCAGGCTGGTAAGTGACTTGTTTGCGGAGAACATAGGTGACATGTTTGCTGACATTTTATTGTCTGTGCTGATTTTAGCAATAAAAAAAAAAAGTCATATATCTGGTACGGGGGGTGGCCCTCCAACCCAAGACTTCACCCCAGCAGAGGAGCTGGCCCTGGACCTAAATAAAGGGAAGCCAGTGATTGAAGGGATCCAGGGAGGGACATCCACTGACTCTGGCCCAGCAAGGGATACTGGCCTCTTCATACAAAGTACATTATTGCCATACAACTGCACATGGAAAATATTGAAATCCATATATATTTTGTTTTGTAAACTGTGTGACTTTGCCTTATAGTGGCTGGTAGCACCCTTACACTTTTGGAGCCAACAGACTATGATTTGCCGGTGAGTACTCTTTATTAAATCATAGGCTTTGCATGTCCTGTCAAAAAATATCAATACAAGTATTGAAATGGCAGAGGGAAGCCACATCTACAGCAGTGGAGTGCACTTCTGCCGATGATGAGACTGTGTCGCTGGACTCCAGAAGGCTCGAGGTATTTTGTGAAAATAGACACATTTTTTTATAAGTTCATAATAGATAAGAAGTCAGGGAAGTGGTACTAATAGAAAATATTATTTGTTACAGGATCCTGACATTGGGCAACCTGATAAGCAGCCTGGTAACATAGTGCGTATTGCCTAAAGTAAATTTACATTATGCCAAAATTCTGCTATGCTAACTAAAAGGTCTTCACAGAATTCACAAACTGTCAGATATCTCTACACAACCCATCTAAAGAGACAGATCGAGCTGACAGAAGTCAAGATTGATGTGAACAAAAGAAAGCTGCAGGACATGGACCTTGAGATGCAAATTAAACACAAGACACTGAGGAAACTAGAACTGGAAATCCAGAAACTAGAAAGAGAAGTAAGTGACTTCAGTTCATACTGTAACCATGACTGTAACACAATGTATTAATCATTATATTTTTTTTCTCTCCAAAGCTCCAAGCTGACAAGTGATAACAGCAAAATAATAAAAGAAAAATATTCCAAAACCATTGTGGTCTTGTAACTTTTTTTTATGAATGTCAAGTATACACTTTATATTTATTGATCCAGTGAAGTGGAACTAGAATTTGGGAAGATAACCACAGTGTGTGCTGCTGATTCCAAATAAAATGCATGTACACATGAAAAAGTTATATAGCCTGCATTATCCTTTATTAAGGGATGGGCTAAATCAAAACTAAATTAACTGAAATAATTTGCAATGTATTGTTCTCTTACAAGTCTTCCATTTCTGTTATCTGGGAATATGGCAGCATTGTCCCAATTAACATCCAAAGCAACTCTGGGAGCCCTTTCTTTTCTTAGGCTGGCAATATTGTGCAGCACTGTGCAGGCAACAGTCACATCACATGCTCTGTCTGGGGAGACCCTCAGGTGGTGCAGGCACTGAAATCGTGATTTCAGGAGGCCGAAGGTCATTTCAATTTGAGCCCTGGTTTTGGCATGGGCATGGTTGTAAGCTTGCTGTGCTGGGGTTTGGGGGTCTGTAAGGGGAGTCATCAGAAATGTCTCACAGGCATAGCCTTTGTCCCCCAGCAGCACACCAGAGAACTCACCTGCGAATACAAAACATAATTCTTAGAAGTACTGTACCCTTGATGTTCAAGGTGCTTAAAAAAAATGGGGTGGCTTACCTAGAGAGAGTCTCTGGTAAATTCTACTTGCCCGAAAGATTCTGGAGTCATGGACTGAGCCAGGCCACTTTGCCTCTAAATTTGTGATAAGGCAGTCAGCATCACAGATCATCTGTAAAAATATATAGCCTATTAAGGTCATTTAATGCACATAATAATTATGTAGCTGACAGTAACCATAACTCATTCTTACCTGAACATTGACACTGTGGAAGGATTTCCTGTTAACATAATCTCCCTCATGTGCCCCTGAGGGGCGTTGGATACGAATATGGGTGCAATCCACTGTACCAATTACATTAGGAAAAGCTGTAACACAAAATAATGAGTGTCATACTGTGACTATGCTAATGTAACATTTTGTAGTAATCTGTTATTATTCGTGTAACCTGCAATCTTGTAGAACTCCTCCTTGATGTGGATGAATCTTCTGTGACCAGGGAAGGTGATAAATATGTGCACAAGAGATTTCAATGCCAGACTTACATTTCTTCAGAGGCGGACAGAGTACAGAGCTTTGTTACTTGAGTAAAAGTACAGATACCCCTTGCTAAATTTTACTCAAGTACAAGTAAAAGTACTACATTCAGATGTCTACTTAAGTAAAAGTACTAAAGTACTTGTTTTTAAAAGTACTTGAGTATCAAGAGTACAAGAGTAGATTTTCTAAATATTGCATTACTAATCTACTGCCACAGTGCTTACATTTATGCACAGAAACGTCCTACATGGAGTTATGAAAAATGTTAATGTTAATACCTTGGAGAATGTAAAAGGAATTGAAAGTAAAATCAAGTCATTTTCATCTTTTTACCATGTTGCTTTATTTAATTTAATTTAATTTTTGGGGGGTCCCATCTTTAAATGCGGGGACAACACACACACACACACACACACCACATGTAAGGGTGGCGCTGCCAATAAAGCACCTAAAAGCTGTCACAAAGAACCGGCAAAAGGAATGATTATGAATATGTAAAATATAGCAAGGAGATATTTTAATTGTTTATTAATAAACACTTGTTAATAAACAAGTGTTTTCTTTGTCAGTGTCGGCTAGATGAAGTTGACGATGCTGACTCGCGATCTTCAGTAGTGAACGCGCCAGAGAGAAATGCACATTTCATACGGATTACATAAGCAGAGAGCAGTCTGTCGTCTGTTTTCTTTCGTTTTGAATTTTTCTGTTTAAAAGTAGACATGTCTGTGAGAGGCAAGTAGGCTACCTTATACACTGTGTTTCGGTTCATTTATGAGACGAGATCCAGTTCACGTGCCGGCGCCTCCGTTTCTTATCTATCGTCTGCTATTTACTTCTTATTTATTAAACCCAGGCAATTGGTTGATGAAACATTGATTCAAATTAAGATACAATTAATGCAAAACGAATTTCAGGTTAAAGAAAGGTTTTGTGTTTTCTGTTTGATGTCTCTGTGAAAGTTTTAAAGCATTTTTTATGCCGCTTTCAGAGCGCTCACGTCCGTAACGGAGAACACGTCCATAACATTGTTTTTTCCTCATAAATGCAAACCCGAAAAATCAAATAAAACAAAATTAATATTTTATGTACTGTGGAGACTGAGCGCCAACCCTTCTTCATTCGCTGGGTAGTAGCCTACTTTGGTTTGCGCAGTGTAATTCACATAATCAGTAAAAATATATTTTGCCTCCTAAAGTTATTTTTTTTTAAAATAAGAAATCCCTCGTGGCTACGCCACTGCCACATCTGTGCTAAACACACCACATACTCAAGAACATCAAACCAAATGCTTGGCTTACATTAATGTGCAATATAAAATCTGACCATGGAGTTGACTTTGGCGGAAAGCTGAAAGTGATTGCTGATAGGCTGTCCCAATCAGTGGCGCCTGCACAATCCAATCACGTTTGGAAACAACAAATTGAGGGTTTCCGAGATTTTTCTTTACTTTTTTTTTTTTTTACTCGGGTACTCACGGTTATGGATAGAAATGTATTGGAGTAAAGAGTACAATATTTGCCTCTCAAATGTACTTGAGTAAAGTCATGAGTACTCCCCAAAAATGATACTCGAGTAAAGTACAGATCCCTCAAAATTGTACTTAAGTACTGTACTCAAGTAAATGTACTCCGTTACTGTCCGGCTCTGCATTTCTTATTGTGCGGCAAATAGTGGCTTTATTGAGGTTTTCTGCATCACCGACAGAATACAGAAACACGCCACTTGCAAAGAATCGCAGTGCTACGCAGACCATCTGTGGGACAATGAGAGCATGGCTCCGTGCTGTCTTGTGCTGTATGTTTGGACCCAGCAGCCTACACAAATATCTGATGCCATCACCTGAGAATCTGTACCTCTCAGTCAGATATTCGTCTGAAAAGGCCAATGGGTCTGCCCTATCTCGGAAGACTCTTTCATGCCTGAATGCTCGTCTGAGTATTAAAACTTCCTCATCAACTACATCATCCAACAAAGGACAAGCCATTGTGAATAGGAAACACACAAATCTTTAGTCTATATATACTACATATTGACCTCGTTACGGACTTAATTGAAACCACATTTGCAACTTCATGAGCCATTTCTTATCTCATCAACTGCAAAAAAAAATTTTTCTCATTCAACAGTACATTTCTACTCTATACTTGCATATATAGATATACATAGTCTATATTCTATTTCTCATATTGTATAGTATAGTTATTTTGCACTGTGTTGGCATTCATTATGGACAGCAAAGTAATAATTGCTCAGGAAAATCTGCTTTCCTCACTGGGTGTATGACAATAAACGCTTTAAATCTCGAATAATATATATATATTCATCAAAATTCTGACAGTGAAATGAACAGCAGTTTTCAATAATAACAAAAAAAACAGTACGCATACTTAGATGAATGACAGTATATCTAGTATTTTAATGCAGGACCATGAAGTGACTAAAACACATTAATATCTAGTAGGATTTAGGGAGGAACTAGCCGATAAATCACTAGGATTAATCTTAGCCTGGTTGTTAGCCTGCTCCGGAGCAGGCTAGCTGCAAAGTGTAAATCTCCATAGTAACTTAATGTAGATTAATTTAGCCTCCCTTCATGCAACCAAGTAAGGGCTAAATTCAGCCAGGATAACTGGAAAATCCCAGCTTAATCCCTTATCTTGCTTTTGTGCAATACCCCCCTGATGTAAACTTATGAGAATCTATCAATATTTCTCCAAATCTGCACATGTTTGAGCTAAAAGCCCTGAGGGACGTTGTTTTGTCAAGCGCTGTCATGACGATCGCACGGGAGTTTTTTTCTGAATGAGAGCAGCTGACGCTCATAATTCATATTAAAGGTAACGACTCGTTTTTTAATTTCATAACTCCTGACACAAATTAAGACATAACTGTCACTATAAGTTTCTCAGAATACAATAGTGGTCAAATACTGAAACTTGAGTCTTATATCGTTTTAATGATGTATAGTTTGTCAAGTTAATAACATTAAATATGATAGTAACTTTGAACTATTTAAAAAAAAAAAAACGCTTCAGAGCGCCCACGCACTGGTGACGGTTAACAGGTTAATGAGAGGTTTTATTACTGCCAGCTTGAATATTTTTGGAACATGACCTAAAGATAAAGACGAGTTAATAATATTAAGAAGAGGCTCTTCCACTACAGGTAACACTTCTTTCAGAAATTTAGTTGGTATTGGATCTAATAAACATGTTGTTGGTTTAGATGCAATGATAAGTTTATTTAGCTCTTCCTGTCCTATAGTTGTAAAGCGGTGTAGTTGTTCTTGAGGGGCGATAATTGAGGCTGAATCATAAGACACCATAGAGGATTGTACATTTACAATTGTGTTTCGGATGCTTTCTATTTTCTCATTGAAGTAGTTCATAAAATCATTACTGCTATACTGTAACGGAATAATTTGCTCGGGTGATGTCTGTTTATTTGTTAGTCTAGCCACGGTGTTAAATAAAAACCTTGGATTATTTTGGTGATTTTCTATTAGTTTGCGGAGATGCTCAGCCCTGGCTGCTTTTAGAGCTTTTTTTATAACGTGACATACTGTCTTTCCACGCGATTCTAAAGACCTCTAAATTAGTTTGTTTCCATTTACGCTCTAGGTTACGAGTTTCTCTCTTGATAGCATGCGTAGCACTGTTGTACCATGATGCTTTAGTTTTCTCTCTAACCTTTTTTGATCTAATTGGTGCAACAATATCTAATGTACTAGAGAAAATGGTGCTCAAACTGCTAGTCATTTCCTCTAGTTCATCTGTTTGTTTGGGTTCACTGAGCAGCTGAGATAGATCAGGTAAGCTATTTGAGAATCTATCTATAGTGATTGGAAGGATTGTTCTGCCTGGTCTATAACGTGGCGCAACATGACAAATTTCAGCAGTGCGTATTATACAAGTTACCATGTGATGATCGGTGAGATCGTCACTTTGCGGTATAATATCTATATCGGTTGGATTGGTTCCGTATGATATAATTAAATCTAGTGTATGATTTAGACGATGAGTGGGACCACTGACATTCTGCTTGACCCCAAAGGAGTTTAATAAATCTGTAAACGCAGCCCCTAACGCATCATTTGTGTTATCTACGTGTATGTTAAAATCTCCAACAATTATTGCTTTATCGGCATTGACCAATAGATCTGAGAGAAAGTCTGCAAACTCTTTTAGGAAATCAGCATATGGTCCTGGAGGTCTATATACAGTAGCCAAGGCTAGAGATAATATGGATTTCTTTCTTACATCTAAGAGCGCAACGTTTAGCACCAGTACTTCAAACGAATTAAACCTGTGACCTGTTTTCTGAGTAACATTAAGAATATCTCTATAGATTGTTGCAACACCGCCGCCACGACCGATCAGACGGGGCTCATGCTTATAACAGTATCCTGGCGGAGTAGACTCATTTAGACCGAAATACTCGTTTGGTTTAAGCCAGGTTTCAGTAAGGCAAAGTACATCGAAGCTATTATCTGTGACCATTTCATTTACAATAACCGCCTTAGGTGTGAGCGATCTAATGTTTAGAAGACCTAGTTTTAGAAATTGTTTTTGTTCACTGATATTTAGATTTTCAGGTTTAATTACAATAAGATTTTTCCTAGATCCTACAGTGGATTTATTATTTGGCCTCACTAAACGAGGAATAGACACAGTTTCTATATAATGTTCTACACTACTTATATCAATTAAATTGGCACAGCAAAGACTGTGATTTGGAATTTGATTTTCTAGTCATACGGTGTGTAACGTCTTGGAGATGTTGTCCGACAGAACAGCCGCTCCGATTCTGCTGGGGTGCAGGCCATCAGCACGGTACAGCCTAGGTCGCTCCCAGAACAGATTCCAATTATTTACAAAGAGCAGTTTTTGTTCATTACACAATGACATTAACCATTCATTTAGTGCAAATAATCTACTGAACCTTTCTTGTCCTTGTCGGTACGTGGGTAGCGGCCCAGACACGATGATCGTTGCCTCAGGCGCTGTGCTGCGTACCGTCTCGATCAGGCTCCTGTAGTCCTTCTTCAGAACCTCCGTCTGCCGCAGCCTGATATCGTTTGTTCCAGCGTGAAGCACCACAGCTCCGACGCGCTCGTCACTGTTCAGGATCTCGGGAACCTGTGCGGCGACATCAAGTACACGAGCACCAGGAAGGCAGTGAGTGCGCACCTTACCCTTACCTGAGGTAGCGCGGACATGACGGACCATGGAAGTGCCGATGATCACGGCGTCGTCGCGTTCCGACTCGCGAAGAGGGGAGAAGCGGTTCCGGGTGGAGATCTCGAAGACCGGGAGGGGCGGAGAGGTTCTTGCTCTGGTCCTGGCTCGTGTCTTCCGCTGTGGGATCACCCAGGGTCCATGGTGTTGGGTTGGTGCCGGAGTGAATGATGCCAGAGATGATCGCGTCCTCCTGGGCAGAGAAACGCACGGAGTGGACGAAGTCGGAGTCAAAAAGTTACTAACCACTGACTTGTGTGCATCGGCGCGTGACGTTTCAAGCGCTGATCGCCGATCCCGCAGCTCGGCTTGCCTCTCCAGCAGACCACGGATCTGTTTCTCCACCGATTCAAGCTCCAATCGTACCGAAATAAGTTCGAATGTGTCCTCACCTGCACTCAGAGGTAACGTTAGACACACATCCGATATGTTCGCCATAACAGATGAACAGTAGATTAGTAGTGATACTACCAATATCACTAGTAATTTAGGACTGAAATCCTGGATATAACCTGTATCCTTTCAGTGAAACGGGTGTAAAATCAGACGGTCAATAGGCGCGAGGCCACGCGTGAAATGCTAGCGGACTAAAGGCTAGTAGCCGAGATTCGCAAAGTTGGGTCTAAGTAGCGATATCAAAGCAATCCGATTGTTTTTTATAAGGAATAGTATCGAGGATAAGTTCCCATGATATAAAAATAGAAAGTGCTTGTTTATAAATGAGTGGTAAAAAAGAAAATCAAGGATTAATGAATTGATTCGACGGAGCTTTCAAACACAAACACCGACTGCTCGTGCATGCGCATGTCACAAAACTAAGACACAAAACGAGCAATATCTAGTGTAAATACTTAACACTAGATATTGTTGAAAACGAAAGTAACGCTCACTGTTTTGACCGGAAATGAGAGTTCAGTATCTTTATTAAAATCATTAAAACATTTTTTTTTCATTTATTTATTTAAACATATTAATGATGTAGCTAATTTACCCGCAATTAATTGGAATATTATTTTGTATTACTTAGATCTGCGCATCACTAAGGCGCAGATGTGAATTTATAGCTTTTTTTTCCTTTTCTTTTCATCCTAAATGATGATGTAACTGCGGGCTGTTTACACCAGGCCACTTCATGTGTTTCTGTGATCTGATAGCTATCCGGTCGTGAAAAGACCAGGTGTAAATGCCCTCCGAAACGCACTCGAGACGGATTTAATTCCGATCGCTCAAACCGCTTCAGGAGGAGGTCTGGGCCGCTTAACAGACAAAACTGGACAAGTGTAAATGCACCTGGTTGTTGAATTGGACAAAAAAAATTCCGCTTCTCGCAACAATGCTAAAAATAAACGTGTGAGAGCGTATTATAGCGATGAAGCTATGGCAACACGCATCGCCGCATATGAGCAGCTGGATTCATCAAGCCAACGTGCAAACTATCGCAAATCAAAGTGAAAGTAAGTCGCAGACGCTTAACACACAATCATCTTCATTAAAAGTAAAGAAACAGAAATGATCTTACCACCCTGCTGAAAAAAACAATAGAAACCATTACAGAATTCCTAATGGTTTCCACTACAAAACCATTACAAACCACCAGCCGTTAACCATTAAAACCATTACCAAGTGGAGTCCATTACGTAGTGTGTTTTGGGCCATATTCCATTAGGATTTATTGGTTTTAAGGGTTTCCATTACAAATTTGTATTGGGTCTGTATTTTAATGGTTTCCATTACAGTTTTGTATTGGTTCTGATGGTTTCATTACAAATTTGTATTGGTCTTGAATTGCACATATTTAATGGTTTCCATTACAGTTTTGTATTGGTTCTGATGGTTTCAATACAAATTTCTATTGGTCTTGATTTGCACATATTTAATGGTTTCCATTACAGTTTTGTATTGGTTGTGATGGTTTCATTACAAATTTGTATTGGTCTTGATTTGCACATATTTAATGGTTTCCATTACATTTTTGTATTGGTTAAGATTTGTAGGTTTAATGCTTTTAGCTGTTAATAATTAGGACATTAATTATAGATTTTAATAAATTAATTTGAATTATAACTACTATTATACACAATTGATATAAACTTCACACCAACTTTTCAATAGCTTACAGCTCAGGTTTTGTTTTGCAAAGAATGAAGAGCTTGCACCTGAAATAAAAATTATAGTATTAAGACCTGCTTTTTTACTCAACCCAGCTGGAAATAAACATCTAACACAACATTAATATTACATTTTTATTATTTGATTCATTTATTCTTTTACATTGTGTGGCTTCACTTGGGCTGACTGATTAGACCTGCAAAAAGAAGGAGAATTCATTAGGACAATGTACCTCTTAAACCACATTACCAGTACATAAGATTATCCATACATTATATATTTAAATATATTCATCCAACATGTTTGGGCATACTTTGATACCCATTTTTCTGTGGGTATCATGACTCCATGTCCTAGATCCTGAAAACAAAAAACAAAAAAAACATTAATATGTAGAATAAGACCATTTTAGCTAATTAAAAAGAAGAGGTCGACCATTATATTGGTTTTACTGATTACTTGGCACCAATAGGTAGCAGTCAGGCTTGGCAGAGTTACTTTAAAAAATGTATTCTGTTAGTTACAAATTACTTTTAAAAAAAAGTATTCAGTAACATAATCCAACTACCACAATATGAAAGTAATGTAATCTGGTTACTTTTGGATTACTAAAAGGTCACGTATATATAAATAGTCAAGCAAGAAGAAATATTATATAAAAAAAAATGCTTTTATTTATTAAGAATTTGGTCCAGTGTACAATATTTTGCAAAATATAAACTATTTAAGAAAATGTCATATAGCTGTAAGTAACTATGTTGTAGCTAAATGCTCAGTTATGAAACCAGAATTTACACAACAGAAATGTTTCTTCAACAGGAACCGAACTGCACTGACACTCTGCACATAAAATTGCAGCTGTTGTGAACTTTATTCTTCTAAAGTTTAGAACTCAGAAGCGAAAAACCAGGAGAATTTTGGGATATCTTTCAGCAGGATTCTTTATTGAGAACACATTTACATTTACACTACCGTTCAAAAGTTTGGGGTCGGTACGATTTTAAATACTTTTAAAAGAATTCTCTTCTGCTAACCATGGCCGCTGTGATGGTACCACGAGCCGTCGCTCATTGACCGATCGTAGGCTTCTGGGAGGGATGTAGACTTGTAGTAGTGAGTGGAAGTAGGAGGGAGCTGAACCTGTGGTCAATCTGTAAGCAAGCGTCAATGCCTTGAACTTGATGCGAGCAGCGAGTGGTAGCCAGTGCAGAGAGATGAACAGAGGAGTGACGTGGGCCCTTTTGGGCTCGTTGAAGACAAGACGAGCTGCAGCATTCTGGATCATTTGTAGAGGTTTAGTTGCACATGATGGAAGTCCAGCCAGAAGAGCATTGCAGTAATCAAGCCTAGAAATGACCTGGACGAGAAGTTGTGTTGCATGCTCAGTTAGGAAAGGCCTGATCTTCCTGATGTTGTGCATAGCAAACCTGCATGATCGAGCTATCTTCGTAATGTGGTCTGTGAAGGTCAGCTGGTCATCAAAGATTACTCCAAGATTTCTGACTGACCTTGATGGGGTGATTGAGGATGACTCTAGCTGGATAGTGAAGTCGTGCTGTAGAGACGGATTGGCAGGGAGGACGAGAAGCTCAGTCTTTGCCAGGTTGAGCTGCAGGTGATGTTCCTTCATCCATGCCGAGATGTCCGCCAGACAGCTTGAGATCCGTACAGCTACTGTGGGATCATCTGGTTGAAGTGAGAGGTAGAGCTGGGTGTCATCAGCATAGCAATGGTAAGAGAAACCATGTGCCTGTATGATGGGTCCCAGTGATGTGGTGTAAATGGAGAAGAGGAGCGGTCCGAGAACTGAACCCTGGGGAACCCCTGTGGTCAGTTGATGTGCTTTGGATACCTCACCTCTCCATGCGACCTTGAAGGACCTACCTGTGAGATAGGACTCAAACCAGTTGAGGGAGGTTCCAGTGATGCCCAGTGATGAGAGGGCGGACAAGAGGATCTGATGATTCACAGTGTCGAAGGCAGCAGACAGATCCAGTAGAATGAGAACTGATGATTTGGAAGCAGCTTTTGCGATCCGCAGGGCTTCCGTGACTGACAGCAATGCAGTCTCAGTTGAATGTCCTTTCTTGAAGCCAGATTGGTTGACATCCAGCTGGTTGTTCAGAGACAGGAAGGATGATACTTGGTTAAAAGCAACTCATTCAAGTGTTTTCGCAATGACTGGTAGGAGAGAGACAGGTCTGTAGTTCTCTAGAAGTGATGTTTTCTAGAGAACTACAGCTGTTGATGCTGTGGTTCGTCCAAAATCTCTCTAATGTAAGTTTACATGGTATCTTATAGGCATTCGGTGGGCAGGAAGGGGCTGACCTTACAAAACCTTAGGGAAGACCACTACATCTAAAGACAATAGAGGCCATTACCCCTAATTGAGATAATGGTACCCCCCCCCCCCCAAAATGCCCAAAAATGCTGGAAAAGTGGGCAGAGCCTAGTGGAGAGGGGGCATGCATCTGAGACGTATCTCTCTGTAGGCAAGGGGATGGTTAGCTGGTACCCTCTGACGTCAGAGGGTACCACAACATCCAATAGGAAAATTCAACTGCAGTAGCCACTGTTCAACCTGAAGAGGGCAGCACTAAGACGTTTTTACACCATATTTTGTAAAATTGAAAAACTTTAAACTAGGGATGTCCCGATCCGATCACGCGATCGGAAATCGGGCCCGATCACGTGGTTTCAGACTCGATCGGAATCGGACGTTACCTCCCGATCAGGACTCGCATATATGTAAATTAGCCATGTAACGGTACATGTATTCGTAATTATTGAACCGTTTCGGTACGAGCTGCTTCCGGTTCGGTACACATACAAACCGAACGATTCCTAGGACCATTTTTTCTGCAGACAAAATCCGCACTGGCGCGATCACCACAACGTTGCGCAACATCAAATGGCAAACGTAATGAAAGCGGAACGAAATTGCGCTACTCATCATATTGTGCTTAACGGACCATTTATCAGTTCGGACCAGCAACATCTGTGCAGCGCGAGATCAAGCGACACTGTGCTAAGATATCCAGTGAAGAAAACATTTGAATTCGCCACTGAAGTAATAACATTGCTGCGAGATCTAGTGAGTTCGCATCAGAGACTATTCAAATTTCTAATTTTCTAATTGTCAAATAGAGCTATTTAATCATTTGGTGAAATAGTTTTTATTGAAATATTGCACTATATATATCAGAAAAAATTAAATATTGCAATATCAGTTTTTTTCAATATCGTGCAGGTCTTTTACCGTGGGTCATTTTTAACCTTTAATATTACCTTATAATAATAAAACAAATAAAATCATCACTGTAAATAACACATAATGTACCTGCTTCTTTTAAACAGTGTCACTTAAGCATGGAAACACTGAACTCACCTTTATGATTGCTGAATCTGCCCTGGAGCTCATCTGTGTCTTTCTCCTGAAGTGTAAACTGCATGTCCTCCTCCAGATCTTGATCTTCTCCTTCACTGACTCACTTCAGCCATCATCTCATGTGTCTGCTGTCATAGAAAAACGCCTTTAATAATCCTGACCATTGCATTTCTTTTGACATATTATTCAACAAGCTTAAACTTAAGACATAAACTGTGTTTAAGTGAATACTCTCCAAGCTCCAAGGAATATATCGTAAATTAAATTCGGGAGAACAGACCACAAATGTGCAGCATATGTTGTCCTTTTTCATACTCTTACAGCAGATTACAAAGGGGAAAAAAGAAAAGAAAAGGATCACGAGGAAAAGAAAGCAGCGACTGAAAAGAGCTCTTGCCATAGATATTCTTGTTATAACATGTCATGTTAAAATACCAAGTATAACATTATTCTTATGATGTCTGAAAATAAATCATGAAGGAAAATTGAGACAATATATTTAATAAATAGTGCGTGTAATTTCTTCAGTACCGTCAGCAGAACTGATAACGTCCAAGCTTATCGATACTGCGGTCTTCCATAATTTGGCCCCAGGACCCATTTAATACCGGGTTTCAGTACCCATGCCTACATATGGGTGTGTTCATATGGATGAAATCCTGTTGTGTTCGGTCTCTTGATTTGTGATAGTGGCAGCTATTGTGAAACTCACCTTCTTCATGTACTGAGTGTAGATGGGATCAAGGTCTTGTCTTGAAGAATCACAGGGCCAAACGCTGGGGATTATGTCTCATCTGATAACAAGAGCATAGCGATAAGTTTAAGAACTCTAATGGTATCTTTACCCCCTGATATTGCATTGGGGATATAAATTCAGAAAAAAAAAAAAGAATTTATATTATATATATATAATTCTTGAGATAATGTATTGTGAAATAAATGCATATTAAATTAGTATCATGATTAATCAATAATTCACCCTTTGTTGTAGAGGGTTTTTTTCTGATGCTCCTGAAATCACTTTTTTTATCACTATTTGTAAGTGACGTCACTGATTAACAGTATGTGCATTCTATTAGATTAAATAAATTAGCATACTAACAATCACCCATTGACAAATTACCAGCAAAACAAAACTATAAAAAATTCTTATCTACACAAAGATGTGGTTAAAACCCCAAATTTTCATAAACAAAAGCTCCAGTTAGCCTTAACTTAACATAAATTGGGCCTAACGTTAACTCTTCTGAAAACGGTTGAGATGCTAACGGACTTTTTTGAAGACACAAAACCATTTCTATAAAGTAAATGTTCAACAGAAGCGTGTCAATTACACGTAATAAAGGTGTCAGGGACGTTTGTATGTATTATTTGTGTGAATTTGTTGACTAAACTCACCTGAAAGCAGTGAAAACAACAGCGAGAGACGCGAGATTTGCTGTTAGTCAGTTGATGACGTTTCTTCCCCGTTTCCATCTGCTCTCGCGCAGCGCGCTCGCTCCAGTGTTTGAATGCGACTCGAATGTTCACGCGCACGCGCATTAAAACACTTAAAAGTCACGCAGCACTTAAATAAACATCTAGAATTAAAATATATAACATCATTTAAAATACCATTAATATTAAATCATGAATTTTAAACTCATTGTGTAATTCTATGACCCATTCATGTGCAAAATGCCAGAACCCAGTTTATATGCCAGGTTTTGTTACAATACTAATAATTGCGTTGTATTATATAACTAAATGGCAAAAAAAAAAAAAAAATCTGGGTTCCAATAATTATATATATATATATATATATATGATGTTCATCAGCTTGGCCAGGCTGGGAGACCAACTAAAACCAGCTACTTCCATCTTAAACCAGCCAACCAGCTTAGGTTGGTTTTAGCTGGATTTTTCAGCAGGGAGGCCAGGTGTTGATGTTGACGAGGAAGAGCCAAACAGCCAATGTAACGGGTAACGTGAGGCTATCAAGCTTATTATCCAGTAGGATTGTCCCGATTATTTGAATAAATTTGACTATTAAAAAAGAAAAAGAAAAACTTTAGTAGCCTACATAGGGCGGAGGTGATCCAGCAAAGTCTGACATACTTATTGAAGAATAACTTTTGATTTTTAATAGACAAATAAATAAATAAATAAATACCCAGAGAAAAGGAGAAGAATTATCATCGGATATCAAAATAAAAGTCTTCACACAACATATACCTGTTAAATAAAAGTATTACAGTGAAACAGGTGAGACAGTGGTCATAAGTTTCATATTTCTTTGTCATTTTATTTTTTGTAGAGCCTATTTTTAAAAGGTTATTTAAAAACTTTAAGAAAAGCATTTTGAATAGCTTGTGACATATTGTGTACTGTTGTTAAACAGTAGCCTAGTGTTCAAACAAAGATACATTTAAATATTATAAAATACATTATTTATGACATTATCCTATATATATATATATATATATATATATATATATATAACTAGAACCTACGTGAATATGTGTATGAGCAGACCTACACACAACCATACCTTAAACAGAGATGTTGCTTTTTTAAAGGCATGCAGTGGAACAGAGTCAGAGTCTGAGAGAGACCATAGGACAGGCAGCATGAAGCAGAACACTATTGATCCCCTGTCAGTGATTGACCTACAGTCTGACATGGACACTGCTTTGACTGCCACAGGAACTGCCACAAAAGCTTAGGCCATGCTAATGATTATGAGCCATGCAGCAAAGCATAAAATAACTGGTTGCCAGTTACATGATTTACTGCAGTTGATCAATAAATTGTTTGGGCAAGAGGTTGTACCTCGATCCAAGTATCTTTTTTAACAGTGTTTTTAACAGTGTTTAAAAACAGTTGTGAGGAAATAGAATTTCAGTTCTACTGCGAAACTTGTCATTTAAACATAGGAACAGTCCAGGAAATCAAACAAACAAATTATATATTAATATCATCAAACCAAAGAAAACACAAAATTTGTTGGAGACTTAATGGTTCATACTGGTGTCCAGTAGATACCAACATGCAACCTATAAGTTGCCAAAGGTGTTCTATTGGTCCTTAATGGTATCCAATAGAAAAAACATGCCACCAATAGAAGAAAGCAAATCACCAATAGAGACCTACTAGGACCATTACAGTTTCCATTAAAACCAATACAGACAAATAGACAAAATATGCCACCAATAGAAAAAAGTAAATTACCAATAGAGACCCAATAGAGACCCAATAGGACCATTACAGTTTCCATTAAAACCAATACAGTTCTCTTTATAACCATTAAAACCATTAGCAATTATGTAATGGTTTCTATTGTTTTTTTCAGCAGGGCAGTGCTGTCTCTCTTATTGCGGTCTTTGATTTTGAAATTAGCTGATGATCAATAAAATGCAGCTCATTATTGTTGCTTTCGGTGACGTGAACTCCGTTAAATCTGCATAGCGCGTTGTTTGAAGATCGGATATATATCTGTTTTGCGAAAACATATTTATGTGACCAGACCAGGTGTAGGCTAAATGGAATCGTTTTGATAAATCAGATCAGTAAAAACGCATGAAGTGACCAGGTGTAAACGGCCCCATTATGAGCTGTCTGTCAGCATCTGTATAATTTTCTGTTAATTACTTGCAAATTGTGGCATGTTGCAAAGCAGTCCCGTCTCTTGTGTTTTTATGAATGACGTCATCGACTAGTCGACGTCGACTCGACTTTGATGTCAAAACAGTCGACTTCAAAAAATCTGAAGTCGTTCAACCCCTAGTGTAGAGTCAGCTGGGATTAAACCAAATGAGAAAAGTTTATCTAACTTGCCAGGGGGGGTGAAATGTAAAATTTTGTTTTTATGTACCTGACAAATAAAAGGAATATGAATCGAACTGATCCTTTTAGGAGTTTTGCGTAGAGTGCTGCCATTTTGGTGCACAGTTCAGCAAATAAACAAATGTGTAACCAAAGTCCAGACACCAGACAGATTTCTAAAGTCTGTTTATTCAGTTCCTACTGATCCTGAATTATATATTGTGCTAAGACAGGGTCATATGTCCCACACTAACAGTAGGAGATTAAATGTGTCTCTAAAGTTTGTGGGTATTTCTTTATGGGGCTGCATTCAATAAGGCCAAAGGATGTTTATGCGTGTGTTTATTTGGACCTCATTACATTTTTTAAGGATTACTTATGTATCAAAGCTGAGGTTTGATACCAAAATCAAACAGTTTAGGGTTCCTCAGTGTCATGTTTACAGTGTTAGTCCTTGTCTGGGAGAAACAATAACGATAAGATACCAAAAAAACAACAGAAGATAATAATTTATCAAAAAGTGGAGCCAGCTGTTCTGACATTTACATACTTCTACACTTCATCACACTTTCACTTTCTAAATGTTGTCTAAGCTGCTGCGCACGTTCACTTTTTAGATGCCCTCTGAACGGCAAAGGAGTTGGATGCAATTAGGGTAAGTGTGTGTGTTTATGCAGTAAGCTGTGTGTTATTCAAACTGTAACATCTTCAATAGAACAAGCAGCTAAACAATATGTTTAGATATTCCTGAAATACTTTTTATTCTGTGCTTCCTTTATTCCTGTTATTTTTCCTGCGTCCCCTTGGTATTCAGCCTTTACGTTGATGTAGTTAGTGTTTTTCCTGTAAAAATGTTAAATGCAGGACTTTAACCAGTAATGGAGTATTATTACATTGTGGTATGGATACTTTTACTCAAGAAAACATCTGTGTGTTGCATAATTTTAAGCAGAACTGTTTAAATCATGTGATGACCAATCAGCTGTTTGAATCTGACTTCACCGTCAGCGTCAGCGTTTCGAAGCAGAAGTTTGGGTAACACTTTATTTTAAGGTGCTTGTAATAAGCAGTAATTAACAGTTAATAAGACACTTATAAGACCTTATAAGACACTTATAAGACCTTATAAGATGCATATAAGATGCATATAAGCATTAACTACTTCATATAAGGGTTAATTAAAGGTCCAGGCCCTGAAGAGATCAGGGAAACTACTCCCTCTTGGGAAGGTCAATTTTTAAGGGCCTGGGAGTTTGTGTTACCATTTATGTTTGTTCGGCTGTTCTAAAAGTGCAATGTATTGATACTTGAGAAATTTATTATTTAATTTAATTTATTTATTATCATTAGTTAATGCTTATATGCATCTTATATGCATCTTATAAGGTCTTATAAGTGTCTTATTAACTGTTAATTACTGCTTATTACAAGCACCTTAAAATAAAGTGTTACCGAAGTTTGTACTGTGTTGAGAAAAAATAGATAAGCAGAGGGGGCTGTTGCCTCACATTTCTTTCTAAGAGGAAGAGCTCCTACACTGCCAAGAGTTCATGCTTCCACTCCCTTTGCACCCCTCCTTGCTGCATTACCAAAAAAGCTGTACTAAGCTGTGTTATGCAGCTTTAACCGGTGCGCCTGTGCCAGATGTTACTGAGCTGGACAGATGCAAACATTTAGAAAACATTTTAAGTTTAAAGTTTGGTTGTTCTACTAATTAACTCCGATCCAGTGAGTGCATGAACGCAGCCTGCATCTCACAAACTGCAGAATTATCTTACTTTCCATTAATGGTGTATTACAAGTGTGGTGGTGTCTCATTTAGAGGGCTCCCCCGAAGTTGGATCGCTTTCCACATTATTTCAGCAACTAACACAACCCATATAACTATGCCGTGTACCACTGGCATTATGTCAGTGTTAATTTTAGCCTGCAAGAAAGGATGTAACGGTACAAAGCGATTCGTTTCCTAGCCTAACTTATAGTGAAACAGGGCA